AGATCATCCATCACAAGAGGCCGGTCACGAATTCCTCGATATGAACGAGTAAAAGGACAATAAGGTCACAGATGTATCACACAGCCCGTTACATACTTGACAACTACTGCTGTGCTCGGGGGCAAACTGCAGAGTAGTTCAAGATGACTGTCACTGCCCTCCTTTAGTGCTTACAAGATCAAGCATTATTGCCCTGTATGAATAGTAGAATGTGGAACTTAGTCTCTGGACATGCATTTGCAAGTACTGTACGCTGGAACCCGCAATAGGCCGTGGTGATTTAAGCTCAATAAAGTGGAGCTTGGCGCCATGGCCATCCGTTCCGACAGCGTCCGAGCTGTCCTTCCAAGGCAAGGCAATTACATGAGTAGATAGTACTTTGTAGAAGCCTGTCAAGCATCACATCAGTTTTCGCCATTCTTCTCCGAGATGTGCTGCTGTATACAGAAGATGACCAGGCACGGACTTAACTCCCATGTCTGGCATACAGCTAGTTGACTAACTCTTCCCACACTCTGAAAAGACCATGATGCTCCATAAGAGAGCACTTTTGACAACAGCTCAGGAGTATTCAATGTGAGTTCAAGCTGTAATGCGAGCCAGCTTAAATGCTAGAGGAGGGTGAATTTTAGTTAAGTGTATCCAGATCTATCCGAGGTTGCATGCGTAGCAGTAAAAACAGCGGAAAGCAAACAGGCCAGCTGCTCAATGGAAGAGCAGAAAGTTGGTTTTCCGCCTAGCGCGCGGATCCCTGCCGACCGCTTCACTCACTCACTCACTCACTCACTCACTCACTTACTTTATGCCGCCGCATCGGCTTTTTCCCCGACACCTCAGCGAACCGCTCAACAATACTGAGCAGAAAGTCACATTCCTTTGCGGCTTTCCTACACAATGGCATCCTATGCATCTTATGGGCTACTCGATCAGCTAGAAGAAGGTAAATTCAGATCGATTTCCCTCCTCAATCCACCAAACTCTCAACCACCGACACTCCCCGCTAATTCATGCAGATGGACTCCACAAGTCGCGCCTTCTCAATGTCGAAGAAAAGCCCTTCAAGCGGATCTCGAAACGTCTCCTGAACAACGATTCGGTCCTCATCTCGAACACCACACCTCCCCCGAATCTGCCGCCGGATGGAATGGACGACGACGATGCTGCGGCGGCGGATGCTGCGGCGGCGGCGGCGGAGGCCGAGAAGCAAAAGCGGCAGGAGCACTGGAGCCATTTCCGCGAGGACGTCGCCTTGGATTTCGCCGCCTTCGAAATCAGCATCGCGCGCATCCAGTTCCTCCTCACGAGCAACGAGAAGGAACGCGAGCGGTACGCGACCGAGAAGCTGGGCATCCTGGACACCATGCAATCCGTCCGCGACAACACCTCCGAGCTGCGGGTTCAGCTCGAGGAGGCCCAACGGCTGCTGGCGCTGCGGAAAAGCTACGACGAATTGGCGGACAAGATCACGAGCAACCGGCTCCTGAAACCGCGCGAGGACCAACAGGCCAACCTACAGAAGCTGCAGGCCGAGATCACCGATCTGGAGAAGGAAAGCAAGGAATACGCGCAGACGTGGGCGGAGCGCCGGGAGCAGTTCGGGCGCATCGTTGAGGAAGGCATGCAGCTGCGTCGCTTGATTCGCGACGAGAAGGAGGAAGTGGAGCGCAGGGAGGGAATGCAGGAAGGTGAGGACGGCGATGACGGCGACGTACCCTCCAAGGGTAAATCGAGCGGGGCCAATACGCCTCGTCACGACTCGGAGAGCCTGGCTTCATCGCATCAGAGTCCCGATGAGCTCGGTCGTCTGTCAGCTGGGTTGCAAGTGGATAGATCAGCCACGACCGGTGCGGCGTCACCCTTGCGGCAAGTGACGGTTCCGGGCGACGAGGAGAAACGCTCGCCTGATCTGGACACCACGATGGAGGACGAGGGCGAGGTACATGAAGAATTGGAAGAGGGAGAAGAGCAGGACGATCGGACAGATAGAATGGATACTACTTGATGATCGGAAGCTCTTATGAGCTAGCATTAAGCGCGGAGTTAATTGGCGGCGTTTGGATTCATGGCGGCTGTTATTTACAGCAATTCTGGTTTTTTTCCACCATGTTGTACTTTTACAATAATTGCATAGACAGAACTAGTGAACGTGGATTTACGAGATCTCTCGCTCTGCTGTTCTGGCTTGGGAGATAGCCTCCTTGGCAGCATTGATCTGCTCGACATTGCTCTCGGCGCCCTTCTTGCCCTCCTCAATCTGCAAAAAGCTAGTTGGTCTTGTAGAATCAATCGAAACATGAGAGAGAAACGTACCAGCAACTGATCAAGCTTAGCGATCGCATCCACAATCTTCTGCTTCAGGGTCGGAAGGACCTTCCTAGTCTCCTCGAGGGCAAGGCGCTGTCGTACGAGGACTGTCAGTGGCAGCACTGGCGTAGGGATTTGTTGGCGGTACAGACCTCCTGCTTCAGAGTCCACTCCTTGTTCTCATCGTCCCCACCCTCGCCGGATTCGAGTTTCTTGATTCTCTCCGTTTGCTGCTGTAGCTCGCGGTGATAGGACGCTTCTTCCTTGATCAAGCGCTGGACAGATGCCGTAGCAATCTCTAGTTGAGAGCGGGGTGCCATTGCGACCAAAGATCTATGTAGATGTTAGAGATGAGTATTGTCACACTACTAATGCTAGCATGTTGCAGAGGCTATGACCCTATTCAGCGTGTTCACTGAAGCTTGGGGAGATGGCGAGCAGTGCACTAGAGAACTCGATGCATTTGTGAAGTGGAGAGCTCTGAACAAGCTCAAGTTTTGGAATGCTCTCAGAACACCTCTGGAACGAATGACAAAGACATTGATCGACTAACCTGTACTGTACAAAGGTCTTTTCAAAAAGTTGAGATCACAGATTTGAGTCTGAAGAGTGTTCTTTTGTTGCGTTGGGTAAATTGCTTTGTTCTGCCCCTCCACTGGGTATGATGCTATCGAACGACAATTTGCATTGTTTGCATTGGATGATTAGTATCAGCACGGGAAGGAGGGGAGTCGAGGAAGTGCCAGCAGCACACCGCCCATGCCATCATCGCCGGCGGTGTCTTCCGGCAGTACGTCAGGCTTATTCACCAGACTGGGCCAATGAGCTCATTGTCCACGGTGTAACTTACTCCGTATGATCTCCTCTATCGGACCAGGTACTACCTAAGGTAATAGCCATCCGCCCTCGGGCTCGACAAAAGGCGCATACAAAGAACTCCAATGGGTCAGGGCTGCTCTCGCGATGGCGGTTTAGGCTCTTGAGACTTCTTCTATATATGTCTTATACATTCGACTTTCACATCCTGGTCATATGTGATAAATATCTCATGCCCAGAACTTGGTTATTATATGATTTTGCCCCCGATTAAAAGAAAATGCCGCCGCCCTCATTACTCCAGCTTTGCACGGCAACTGCGATCAGGAACGTCAAATGTGGGTCGCGCCTGAGTCAACTCCGAGATATCTGATCGCTGATACTGGTGCTACCTAGACTTGAATGATATCGGAAACATCCCTTATGCCCTTGCTCGTCCGTTCCTCCTCAAGGTGGAGAGTCCGGAGAAACTGGTGAGTCGCGCGATCGCCGCTGGGCCATAGGAAGAAGGCTCTAGACTAACCGATCGCCCATGATCTTACAGAGAGCATTGGAAATCCAGTCGCCTCATCTCATGCGCGATGACGAAGAAATATGGCGTGAATTCATCGAGCGGGACATTCCAGAATCGCACAGGGACGCTGTGCCCGAGAAGTCAGATTGCTGGTATGACGTATATCGCGAGCTTCAGGAAGAAGTACAACGGGCAGTTGATGAGGATGCAGAGAAACTCAAGATGGCGCTGGATGGGATCAGCTCCGAGAGAGCCAAGCACAGTGCGAAATTCATTACGGACCGGCGCCTCCCCGGTCAGAGGCCTACTGCGAAGCAGCGCTACGCTTCCTACGATCGGAAGATGGGCGGCATCAAACCAGTATTCACTCCCGCGAGGACTGGACTGGGCTCCTCAGATCCGTTAGGAGCGCCTGCCTGGCAATTCGAACGACCTTCCGTACCACGGGAGACAAAGAAGAAGAACAGCATTTTCACCGCCACGAAGCGCAATAGTGTGCTGGCCATCCCAACAAAGCAGCTCAACAACAGAGCTTCGCAGGTCAGACAGGCTCCACGGTCCTTGATTGAGGAACATCGGCGTCCTGCCGAGCCTCCTGTCCCCCGCCGACGAGATAACATGGCTCTAGCTATGAGGGCACCCGGACGGTCCCGGATGCAGAGTGCTGCGGTTTCTGCAGGCCAGAATAACCTAGCAGTCAACTCCACCCTCCGGGATAGGGAAGCTCGACTCCGGGCAATAGCCTCCGGACGACCAGCAGGCACTCTGGGGATTTCGCCTGCTTCAGAAACCACGGCGCGGACTGCACGCCCAGGAGTGGCGGCATCACCCTCTCCGGTTTGTTTCCCTCTCTTTTCAATCCTGACTGATATTCTCGGTGCTAGGATCTTGACTGACTAGGCCACAGACAGATGCAGGTGACTCGACCGCACCTGGAGCCCGTCCTCCTATGGTTCGGAAAAGACCTGCGCCCGCTAATCCTTTCCTCCAACCCAAGAAGAAAAGATTGAACTGACATATAAGTTGGTATATGATATTCGAATAATGATTTCTTCTTTGAGCCATATATAGGCCGCTCTTAGACCTGGACCGTGCTGTCCTTTCGAATAATGGCCGGCATCTCGCATCCTTTTGAGCGTCATTCTATTTGCCACTATTCTATTCCCATGATTTGCGTTTCTTTACCTTCCTCTTTTTTTTTGGCCACCAGAGCGCACTTAGACATGGTTGGCTTCAGATTTATCACAATGACCTTTTTCCATCTGCTGGTGGTGGTCATATCTAGAACGGGTTTTAAGGCGAACGGGTTTTAAGGCGAACGGGCTTGAACTTATTCTCCGCACGAGGTCTATGAATCTAATATACTCTCTGCTACACTGAAGCCTGACCCACGTATACATATACTTCTTCTTCTTCCCCAGCCAGGATACAACAGCAAACCTCGTCAACCACAGCCGCCATTCCCATACGGCCAAACGCCGCCCTTTCTCCAACCCATTGAAATCCGCGCCCGCACACCGCATACAAGCTGATGAGCGGTTTATTATTGTATTGCTGCTAAACCACATTTCAACATCGCGCTAGGGTCCAAGGACGAAAGCGACATATGCGCGACTCAACTCTATATGCCTGTGATGGAGCAAAGAAAAACCGGCCATGATGATGTTTCCATTCCAGGAAACCAGTTCCTGAAGCGTAGCAACGGGGTAGATAGGCATGATTATGGGTATGAGTCTGAGTATGAGTATGATGGTAACGACAAAACTGTCGAGGGAGGGAACCGATTTATTAATTTCCCATGCACAACACAGCTACCAACCGGCATCTCTCTTTCCCTCCTTTCCTCTCAAGTCCCTGTCGCTTTTAAAAACCACCACGAAGCGCGAGGACCAGGTGTAGTGTGGCGCCACCTTCGAGGTTGTATTCTGCGGCGGTCTTGTCGTCGGCCCTGTTTTTTCGAAGCACGGGTGAGTTTTCTCTTTTTCCTCCGGGCTTGGAAAACATTCGGTTGAGGTAAAGGTGTGGGGATTGGGAAAGGGCAGGCGTACATCTGCTTGCCACCGAAGATCAGTCGCTGCTGGACCGGGGGGATGCCCTCTTTCTCTTCGACGCGTTCTTTTATGCGGGAGACCTGCGGTGTGTTTGGAGATTGGTTAGCTGATGTTGTTGCTGTGGTGAGAGCTTCGAGAGAAATTCTTGTCGTGGGGTTGAGGGGCAGCCTGGGCTGATGGTTTGCTGCCTGCCTCGTTCGTCTTCTCCGTTACACGGCGACGCACGGAATCACAGACACGCCGAGGAGGGGAGGGGAGGTGGAGCAGAAGGTAAGCGACGTAAGGGAGGGAGGTAGGTAGGTAAGTACCTTGTAGTCGGGCTCGATATCGAGTTCGATCTCCTTGCCGGTGAGGGTACGGACTCTATATTGCAGTGGAAAAAGATGGTCAGCTGGTTTGGTTCATGACCGATGCCCCGACGACTTGGTGTTTCCCCCTCTGCGTCATGGGCTTGGGGGGTGGAGATGTCGGGGCCGGGCTGGACGGCGCGCCGCAGGCTCACTCACTTGATCAACATTTTGAGAAGGTGGGACGGTCTATATGGTGAAGGATCGGGTAGTAGTTGAGGGTAGTTGCGATCGCGCAGCGCAAGAAGGCTGTATGTCCGGGTATGCGAGATGAGTTGGGGTAGTGAGCAGTAACTAACATGGAGGAGGGTTGTTTCCGTGACGGAAAGCCGCGGCGGGGTCGCTTTCTGGTGGGGCATCGGACTTGGGAGGAGGCCCGGCGAGAGCACTGAACAATAGTACTAGTATTCAATTGAATACCCACAAGACCCAGGAGCTGTACAGGGATCCTGCTCTTAGTAGTGTCGAGTTGACACTCAATACGAGTAGTAAGTAAGAGTCATTCTGCTTGATGGATACTGGAATGACTATAACGGAGAGAGGATAGCTCGAGCATCTTGTCAACGACATTTGCCGGCCTTATGCTTGGGTTTATGGACGGTTATATATAGCAACTAGCGGCACTGAGTGGCACCTAACTCAATGATCCCTACAGCTTCAACTCTTCGTAAGCTCCAACGCACTCGCCATCTAGACTTGCCTTTCTTCTCCTTCTATACTGGATCCACGAAAATGAGTACTAGTGACCAAACATCCAATCCGTTCAATGAACTCATTGCGGAATGCCATAATGACCCGGTATTCACCCAGGAGGTTTCCATGGCTAGATCTTCGAACCAGGCACACTCATCCGTTGGCAGACACGAATCCAAGCTCGCTACGAAGCCCATCGAACCAATCGAAACATCCAACAAAAGGAACGGCTGCTCGATCCCGGTTTCTCCGGTTGGCAGATCGACGATATTCTTGCACGCCTGCATGAACAAGCAAACAACGAACAAGGTAGCACTGCGACAGCACCGTTCATTGACCCCCGACACAGCTTAACCATCCTCGCTCGTCCACCGCAGCATATTCGAGACCTAGTGGCTGAGATCCAAAGAGAGATCGGGGATGTTGCTCGAAGTTCGTGCATCCCACCCGCCCTTTGGACTGACTCTGGGCCCAGTCGCCGAGTACGAACGCTGATTTGGACATGCAACAATGGCTAGGCCTCTGGTTTACACCTCCAGACTATCTACACATGACTACCCTGGAGATCGCTAGTTGCCGGACGGAACCAGAGATAGATGACCTGGTCACTCGTCTGCAGCGCAGTGGGATCATACCGCAGTTGACGCACTGCACCTTCCATCATCGCACACGGCTATTCAAGCCGGTGATTAGCTACGATGCGACGGCAATGGCTCTGAGTTTCGTCCCTGAAACTGGTGGGGACATGATGGGCCATGTCCACGAGAAAGAATGCCACGATGATCAGTATACTTACCACCATCTACGAAGAGACGTCTCCACGCAGATTGCGGCAATCGGACTGCCGATGAAGCCCAGGTACATTGCTCCGTCGGCGCATATCACCATCGCACGATTCATCACTCGCGAAGGATTCTTGCTGGAGACGCCTGGTCCAGACGGGTTGGAACAGGTCGATAACGATCAAATTGCCTTACTGATTCGAAGGATTGAGTCCATTAATGAGAGGCTCAGGGCGGAATATTGGCCCCGTGAACGAGAGCCCATACCTCGGAAAGGCGAGTGGATCGTGGGAGAGGAGCGAGGGCTGGAAGTCTGTGTTGGGAGGTCATTCTATGGAGGCGGCGAGTGTGCCCATGTAGGGAAAGGCTTTTGAGATACTAGGTAGAGACTCATGAGGTAGACTCCGATGGAGGTTGCCAACGTTCCCTTAAAGCCATCAAGGTAATTAGTTATGGTCTGTTTCATACCAATGGTTGAAATGATAACAAAAGCGGAAGAGGGCCGATAGCTATAGTTGCCTGAGGCATGATGCAGTCAGTCTTGGCTGCTGACACACAAACGCGGTTAGGCCGCACCCTAAGCGAACGAAATCCCACAACCCACCGCACCGCCGCCAGCCCGACTTGATCCTCCCCGACAAGAGACTATCAACGACCACCAAGTTCGCGATCCGGCCAAATCAGTCAAAATGGTAAGGATGTTGTCCCGTTGATTTCTCACCTTTGTTGCCGTGTTCCTGGGCGTCCGAAAATTTTTGTTCGACAAATCGGCACATGTTGGAAGGGCGAGATGGCGAAATTCGATATTTCGCCGATGGATGGATTCCCAGCTACGAGCCCGTATGAATCGCCTGCGACCGACAGTTATGGCACCCTCAAAAAAGACTACAAAAATGGCCGACAGTGAAGACGAATTCGACATGGCGATTCCGAAGCGACGATTTGTGGTGTGAGGCGATCGAACGGAATACTTTGTGCGATCCGGACGAGAGTATCGGCCTGCAACAAGAAAAGATATGCCAAAAAAACTTTCGCTATTGCCTGAACACAACGATCAATGCTCGATATCCTCCAGATTCAGTACCGCGCCACTCGCCGATGAACAATACGACGCAAGACACCCGGGAACACACTATACTTGCCGTCCAGTGACAAATACATCTTCACCCGCAGAGGCTGATTCATTCTTCTCTCGAATTCAGGTCAACGTTCCGAAAACCCGCCGGACTTACTGCAAGGGCAAGGAGTGCAAGAAGCACACCCAGCACAAGGTCACCCAGTACAAGGCTGGCAAGGTGAATAGCACCACCCCGCCTCGCCTCTGAGGAACTTTTCGAACAACGAGCGGCGTACTGATGCAGAATTTGTGATCTCCCTTTAGGCCTCCCTGTTTGCCCAGGGTAAGCGTCGTTATGATCGGAAGCAGAGCGGTTACGGTGGTCAGACCAAGCCCGTCTTCCACAAGAAGGCCAAGACCACCAAGAAGATCGTCCTCCGTCTTGAGTGCACTGCTTGCAAGCAGAAGAAGCAGCTCTCCCTGAAGCGCTGCAAGCACTTCGAGCTTGGGTATGTTCCGCCCGACTTCGCGACTTTCTCGGAAGATGCTAATCGATCTCGACCTACAGTGGTGACAAGAAGACCAAGGGTGCTGCTCTTGTCTTCTAAATTTGCGATTTTCTTGTTCGGCTCTGGGTTTCCTGCATTGCTAATCCGGCGGTGGCATATGACAATGGCAATGGAAAATGAAATAGGGTCCTCATATTCAAAAGAAAAAAAGAATATATGACTCCTAGTTGACGAGTCTCTTGACGAAATTACCCGTGTTCCTGATACCGCGTAGTAGCATTTGTAGATCTATGAGAGAACGATGATACGATAAGGAACGGTCGATCGCAAACCCGTGCCTTCAAGCCTCGCAACCACCAACACGATCTAATGGAACGAGAAGACGGCCTGCCTGTCTAAGGGGAGGTAGATAGCATTCCTACTCTGCATACGACTCATCCACTACCTAACTACTACACAGCATAATACTACTAAGAAGACTTTCTTCTCCAACCAGTCGGACAAGCCGGCCAAATTGATGAAAAAAAAAGGGGGTTCGCGTCGATCGGGGGTAGTGTAAGCCCGATGACACTGTGCAGTCCGACATGCGCAAGCACAGAGGTCAGACTGCAGAGTACAAAAATAAGATTAATCAATGTTGTGTTCCTTAGAACACTTTCAGAGATTAAACTGAAAAGAACAGATACTACACTTGATCTAAGCCAAAAGGCAAAGAGAGCTGGAAAAGAAAAAAGAAAAAAACTCCAAAAGGATGCCGGGCGGTTGCACCTTTTATAGGGAGACTTGGAGGCAAAAGGGCGCTAGTGGTGCTAGCCTCGCTTGATTGACGCGCTAGACTAAATTTGGGGGGCATCTGGTTTGGGATTAGCGGGGGACGTTTCGAGGTTGGCTGGAGTGAGGACTACTAGGTCTATACTAGGTAGTATTGTATATACACCATGAAAGTATTCTAGACAATTCGTGGAGTCTGCTTCATAGCTCGAGGTTAGTGAGGCTGGTTAATCTTGTTAGAATGCTGGTTCATCGCTGAGAAGGTCCTTTATTGGCCTGGTACTGCATGCTGATTCTTTTTGGGTAAGCTGGATACCAGATATATGTCGTAGAATTGAGAGCATAACCACTAAGTACGCGGAATACTATTCTGTCCTCCGTACCACAATTATTAACCAGTTACCAACCAGAACCATCCAGCCGAAGACGAGGCTAATCCAGTCACCCCCACGCTAATCCAGGCTGTCACGGGGGCGGGATGGGATCCCCCGCATTTCAAGGGATCTATCTATCCCTCGGTCCACCCGCTACGTACTTCGATTGTCCATGCACTTGTCTACAGATGTGACTTCATGACTTTCCTTGACGCCGTCATCATTGTCATCAAACCTGCCCTTCACTTCTGCCATCGTATCATTCCGAACCCATCTCTGAAAGAAACAACAACAACAAAGCCTTTACCACGAGGGAAGATATGGAACATCACCTCCCGGGCCATCAACTACCGAACATCCAATTCCAGACTATACTTCCCGTCGAATGCGGGGAAACTGGCGGCATTGCGACTGGCATGATCGAAGTCTGATCTACAGAATACGGGGTACTCAAACTCTGGCCCGCTTCCCCAACTTCATACCCCGGATCGGTCGTCATTGCTCGGCCATCCTCCGAGTTGATGTTGACGTCGTACAACTGCACCCTCGGCTCATGGCCGTGCAGCTATATATCCGCACGCCCAGCGCCTTCACGCGTCACCTCTTCACCGTCAGGAAGAGTATGCATGATACTAGTCTTTCTTCGGCTTCAATCCCTCTTTCTGCTACAAAATGGCGGTCTGGTATGCTTTTGGTGTGGCAATATTTGCTGCCATCGGAACGTTCTTGTTTGTAAGGCAGGCTCGTGTCGCGTCTGAGGGCTATCTCGTCGCTAACATAAGTCATTTCTAGGGGTTTGACACAGGCATCGCTACGACAAGTGAGAGACCCTAGTGCAGCGACCCTCCCACGACGACAGCTAACGACTCTTCAGCAATCGCCCATGAAAGCTGGATTGACTACATGAATCACCCGTCAAATGGCCTGACAGGAGCCGTAAGTCAGGAAGACCTTTTTTTTCGGGCTTTTATATCTAATCCCGTGTAGGTTGTATCAGTGTACATCGCTGGCGAAGCAGTCGGCGCGCTCACTCAGACTGCAATCGGAGATAAACTCGGTCGACTTCGCTTTATGGAGATGTCGTGTGTTGTTGTCACCATCGGAACAGTCATCCAGACCGCGGCCGTGAATATTGGAATGTTCCTTGCTGGCCGCCTGCTGGCCGGGTATGCTGTTGGGTGAGTTGTACCCGGGCACGTGAACCAACAATCGAGGACGAAACTGATCATGGCGTTGGTAGCGGAATGGTTGCCACAGTCCCGATTTATCTCAGCGAGATATCATCCCCTCGTTATCGTGGCTTGATTGGGGGCATCTCAGGCTGCGGCATCGCATTCGGAACGATGGCTTCGAACTGGGTCGGATACGCCTGTAGCTATGCACCCTATGGTCAGGTCCAGTGGAGGGTCCCTCTGGCGATCCAAGTCCCATGGGGCATCATCATGTTCGCCGGACTGGTCACCTTCATGCCCGACTCTCCACGCCACTTGATTCGAGTAGGTCAGATTGAGAAGGCGCGCAGCGAGTTCGTCAGAGGCCGGCGGGATTTACGTCCGGATGAGGCTCATCAGGAGTTTTCGGAGATGGTCGCGCAAATTCAGTACGAGAAGGAGAGAGAGATAACCTCCTACAAAGATATCTTCCGCATGTTTCGACGACGCGCATTAGTGTAGGTCCATGTGCAAGATACACGAGGGAGGCCTGACTCCACTGACTCGGTCGAATAGCTCGATTGCTGTGCAGACCATGACGAGTCTTACCGGCGTGAACGTCATCCAGGTATGTGTCTCACAAACCCGATGGAGATAAGATGCTAACAGAGCCCTAGTACTACCAAAGTGCGCGTTCTTGCCCGCCCATACCCCCCCCTCCAATGACGAAGAATACTGATGGCTGTGATCCAGCAACACTCTACAAATCCCTCGGAATTGACTCCCACACCATCTTAGCCCTAGCTGCTGTGTACGGCACCGTCGCGTTTATAACTAATTGCCTCACCACCAAGTATCTCACAGATCAGTGGGGTCGTCGCAAGTGTGTCTCCAGCCCAACCTAACCCACAAAATCCCAGCCACCCCAGAAACTAACCAAACGAAGTATGATCCTAGCCGGCCTCGCCGGAATCATCATGATAGAAATATATGCCGCCGTCATGCAGCGAGAGTTCCAGAACACGGACAACAGAGTCGGGAAAGGCTTTGCCATCCTGGGAATCTACCTGTTCGTGGTGGTCTACTGTATGTCCGCAGAAGACACGCAACCCATATCCCCATATTCCCGGTTACTAAGTGCCATAAACTTGCACAGATGGTATGCTCAACAGTACCACCTGGCTATACGGCGCCGAGGTTCTGCCCATTGCGCTTCGTAGCAAGATCATGGGACTGGCCGCAGCATCTCACTTTATAGTCAACGTCGCAAGTAGGATTGCCCCTTCCTCCTCATTCGCCACGACAAGTACCTCCCCCCAAAAGCCCCGCAGAACATCTACTGACACCATTGTCCTTGTTTCATGACGCAGTCACCGAAGCCGGTCCCAGCGCCTTCGCGAACATCCACGAGAACTACTACTACGTCTTCGTGGCCTGCACTGTTTTCTTCTTGGTGATCGCCTATTTCTACTTCCCGTAAGTCTCTTCTCCACGAACTTGTTCTTCTACCTTCTTGTGAAGACAAAAGCAAAACAACAATACTGGAAGGTGATATGACTAACGTGCCCGGAACGGGTGATAGGGAAACCAAACGCAAGACCCTGGAGGAGATTGCCGCGTCGTTTGGGGACAAGGTGGTCGCGGCCGGCGAGCAAGGCGAGGAGGATCCGGATGCGAAGCTCCATTCGCAGCGGGTGGAGGTTGTCTACGAAGGATAGGGTCAGAGAAAGAAGGATCACTTTTCTGCCGCAACGCTTTTCCGCAATTCAGAATATGCGCTTGTCTATACCGTTCGTCACTTAGCATCATTGGAGTCTTTCTCATCTGGCTCTTGGAAATTATCCTGATCATGTAGCAAACTAGCTGGATAGCCTATGTCCCGTGAAAGGGCTCTACAAAGTGAAGGAGAAGAAGAAACATGGTGCGGATAACGTACCGTCAGGCTTCAACTCCCACCAACCGGGCCGTTTATCCCTCGCATCAGCGACGCATCTTCTCATCAAGACCACGCCATCCCCTGTCCATATTCCCTTCCTCAAGAAAGACAGACGGGCAGGAAACAAAGATCTGTATGGAAGTGAAAAGCAAGCAAGAAAGGGCGTGTGCCCCCCTCCCCCCTTTCCCCCCTGCCCCCCTGCCCCCCGGCCGAGAGCCGCCCCTCGTTCGGCTCCGAAGCTAGAGCTAGGTAACTTATGTCTGATATCACTACGAGGGAAACGAACACAAGAACGAAAAACGGCTTCGTCTTCTATACCTATGGTAGGTACAAATTGACCTATAACATTGTGATATGTATTGCGCTGTCGATGGGGATGGGAGGTGGGCGGTGGGGGCTAGCTACATGCCGTCCGTCCCGTCTACGGCAATCAGGGCTGGCGCTGGCGCTGGCTCGAGTTTACTCCTGACGATCATGTGGGTCAGGTGTACCGGTAGTCGTGTGTGCAATGATTCAATTCTTCTACATGGGATGATGGGAATGTGAACAGGGAGGGGGGCTTGAAAGAAGGAAGACCCTGGCGAGGGTCAGGGGGGGCTCTTCTGGCGTGGAGTTACTGTACTGTACATACAGGTTACTGTGCACGGGATGGTGTGCGGAACTGAAGACGGCGCTTTCACCATATTCAGGGTAACAAGTAAGTGAACCTGAGTCAACCACTGCAGGCTCCGTACCTCTGCATGTTCTCGAGTACTTGCTTGATAGGGTTATGGTTCATGCATGCCACCAGTTCAGGCAAATGATCAGATCGGCGGATCGTCAGGTGACGACAAGTGACCGCCCTCCTGCATACTCCATGGAAATCCTTTCGGCCGGACGTCGGACTTCATTGACATTCATCCAATCAT